AGGCTACCTTGGAATTTGCTACAGATTATAGTGGGTGAACAGAGCTTTATTTCTTTAACTATGTAAACTTTGCCTTTTATCACAATATTGACTACACCTACATGTAGAAAAACAATGTTAGAATAAATGCGTGTTTTTTTTTTGTTGTTGTTGTTGTTGTTTTTCGAGACAGAGTTTCTCTGTGTAGCCCTGGCTGTCCTGAACTTGCTTTGTAGACCAGGCTGGCCTCGAACTCACAGTGATCTGCCTGCCTCTGCCTCTCGAGTGCTGGGATCAAAGGTGTGTGCCATCACACCTGGTTTGTTATTATTAAAGTTAAAAAAGCTGTGAGGACACATGCGTGGCAGTCAGAGACTTCATGGAGTCAGTTCTGCCCCCGCCTTTACCTGGGTTTCCCGGACCTGGCTCAGGCTCCACCGCTGTGTCAAGTGCCTGCTGAGCCACTGTGCCGGCCCGAAACCATGTCCTCGGTCAACTGAAATCCTCCTAGGTGTGTATAGCTAATCTACACCAAGAAGTGGCAGGAGAGACTGTGGGCTCGAGGGGAAAGCTGCTGTTCTGTGTACTTGTGAGGCTTTCTGGGGAAGGAGGCTGTTGAAGGTGTGGGGGCCGCGTGAGGTGGCCACATGCTTGCTGGCCTCACTCTGATCTGGGGCCACAGGGCAGAGGGAGAGAACCGACTCCTGGGCTGTCCCCCAACTTGGTGTCCATGCTAGGGCATACACACTTCCCCTCAAGCCCTCGCATGTGCACGTGCCACACACTAAGTACATGTAAAAAGAATCTCCGCTTGAAGAAGCACTAAAGCTCAGTGAAACTTTTCCTAGGCGTCCTCCAGCTTTTCTGCCTTTTTTCAGGGTAGCTGGCAGACTGACCTCAGACATCCTCAGCAGAATTTCTGTCTTTCCCCTGTGAGCTGTGTCCAGTTGTTGTGTGCGAATTGTCACACTCATGTCGCACTCCCTTTCTCCAGCCACCAAGATCTGCCTCTTTCCTAAACATTTCTGTGGAAAGGCTTGACTGTGTGGGTAATGGGTCAGCTTGAAGATAATGGGGACGCTTGGGAACTTTCCTTTTAGATTTGGCGACAGGTGGGCGTGAACCTCAGGCAGCTGAGCTTCGCCCCACTGAGGAGCCCGCAGTGCTGCTGCCATCCTGGTTGCCATTCGAGCAATTTTTAATTTTTATTTTTTAAACAACTGGTTGTAGTTCTTACAGCTGGCACCCTCACTTGAAAGATGGAAAGGAATTAAACTGTTCCCCCAGGGTCCTAGGGTAAGAGAATTGGTAATGCCGTTTAAGAAGTCTTGCATCTTGATGAAGAGAGTCATAAAATTGTTTTGTGTTGTGATATATAAATAATGTATTTTATTTTTGTGGTGTGTGATCTGGAAGTCAATGACAAATAAGTAATTATGAACAAAGAACAGAAAGGGGGACCAGGGTGGCAGAGTGTTGTGTGTCTGTGGGAGAGCTGATATGGACTCTAGCCTTGTGCCCTTCGAAGCAGCTCCCAAGCACCCCAGCCCCCCACTTCTATGAAGGTGCTGCCGTTCCTGTTTGTTGAACATGGAATTAGCCAGATCAAATGGACTACTGACTGGTGCTTTGAGAATTCGGACCCATGGTTATGTTATAGAGAGCCATTTAATGAAGAGGGCATTAAATCCATGATCTCTGAGGTGATCATGGGCTCTAAATGGACCGTGTCTGGGGGTTCTGTTGTGGCGGAGCCTTCTCTTTGGCTGGGCCCCGATCCCCAGAGAGCAGGCGTGCCCTCATGCATACGGCGCTCTCCAAAGCCTCCTGCTCTTTCTGTCCTGACGGTCAGACCTTCCTAACAGCAGCTTCAGTGTGTGTGCTCTGCTGTACTGAGGCCGATTGTGAGGGCGCTGGCCACGGGCAGGTGACCTGGGTCTCTGCTGCTCCCAGCAGCTCGGTGGTTTCATGGCTGTGTACTTCTGACCGTGGCTGCCGCAGAAGACACTCCATCTCAGTACGGGGAGAAGATGGCCCAGGGAGTGAAGTGCGCGCCGCCAGCCCGAGCCTGGAGCTGCCTGAAGTGAAGTAGGCACCACCCCAAGTAGGCACGTGTACACACACGCACACACACAGGCACATACACAGGGAAGGGGTAGAAAGGATTACAAATATAATAATCTTTAAAAAGAAAAAACAAGTGATCAACCAGGGGCTGTGACGCACATCTTTAATCCCAGTGGAGGCAGGTGGATCCATGAGTTCCAGGCCAGCCTGGTCTACAAAACAGAGTCCAGGACAGCCAGGGCTACACAGAGAAACCCTGTGTTGAGGAAAAAACAAAAAATGAAGTGATCATGGGCTGAGATTGCAGGTCAGTGGAGGAGTGCCTATGTGGTGTGTATGCTAGCACAGCAGGGTCTGTTCCTCCCGGGTGAGCCCCACGCCTGACCCGGTGTGCTCAGGCCGTGTGCTCAAGCCGAGGGCACATCCGAGTGGTGTCCCCTGCTCTGAGGCTGCACAGGGTCTTGTGCTCTCCTGGTCACTTTCATTGTTGTTAGGTTTGAGACCAGGCTAGCCTTGAACCCTCAGATTGCCCTGCCTCTACTTCCTGAGTGCTGGCATTACAGGTGTGTGCCACCAAACCTGGCTCCTCTTTTCTGGTCACCTTGAAGGTCTGCTGTCACATTTCAGTAAATTTCTCTAGGTTCGTTTCCTGAGGCCAGTCAGCCTCTGCTAAAGTAAAGACTTCTTTTCTTCTATCCCAGTTTTCCAGCCGAGTGCACACGTCTCTTTGATTATTGTTCCCTCACTGCTTCCATTTTACCAGTTCATTCAGTCCCGCAGTCAGCAGTGGGTATTGTACCAGGCCGTGGGTGGCCCGAGCTGAACAAGGCAGTCCCTACCCCCAAGTGCACAGTCCGTGGGGGAGCCAGAGGTGTAAACAGACGGTTAGAATACCAGTGGCGTCTACGGCAGCCACATCAGTGTGCCTGAGGAGGGAGAACAGTGGCAGCCTCCCAGGTACCTGTTGCGAGGACATTCCAGTCAGAAAAGAGAGCACCACGGTCCTCCCACTCCTGCTTCCACTCTGTCTGTTCTGGGGCCTTAGTGTCTTTGCTCAATTACGAATCTCACTCAGCTAATTGGTGCGGCAGAATTAGACTCTCTTCATTGGCCCCTTTCAAGACCAGAGACGGTTGTTGGTTGATGGATGTCCCAGCTGCCAAGTCCAGGTTCATCTGATGAATGATGGAGACTGTGAGCCCTGAAGAAAGCCCTTCAGAGACAGGCCTTCCCGGCCTCAGACAGTAGGAATGGCCACTGTGACTGCCCACCCCTGTCCAGAGAGGGGAGATGCAGGGGGACGGTGAGAGAGGCACAGGGCGATCCGCCACTTCGCCTTCTTGTCGCAGGGAAGGCTCTTTGGGGAGTGGGGTCCTCGACCTCTGCTCGGAGTGTGCTCCAGGCACCCGTCAGAATTCCAGCAATCAATGGGAGAGCCATGTGTTTACTCTACTGTTTGACTGGAGCCTCGTGACTCCAGGTCTGTGTGGTCACCTGTTGGTGGCCTCTCCGTGTCCCACAGCCGCACCTGTTTCGCTGTCAGTGGGTAGCCCCACCGTTCATCTGGTTGCTTGAGCCATGAACCAGCCAGAGAATCTCACCTCATCCTCCTTCATTTGCTTCTTTTCCCACCTTTATCTCTGTGGCGCACTGGGCATCTGTCAGTCTGTCTGCCTTTCTCTCTTTCTTTACTCTTTTTTTCTTTTTTTTTTTTTTTTTTTTTTTGTTTTTTTGAGACAAGGTTTCTCTGTGTAGCCCTGGCCGTCCTAGAACTCGCTCTGTAGACTAGGCTGGCCTTAAACTCATAGAGATCTGCCTGCCTCTCCTCCTGAGTGCTGGGGTTACAACTGGAATAACACTAGACAGGTGTCACCGGATTTCGGCTTTCAGTCTTCAAATTCCCACTTAGCCACTGGCACATAATAGAAATGTTAAAATGTGGACGCCTGAGCCAGTGCTCATCATCATTGGAGCACTCAGGAGGCCGAGTCAGGAAGACTGTGAAGTTGAGGCTAGCCCGTGCTCTGTAGCACGCCTCTGTCTCAGAAATGAAAAACAAGACAGGCCAGAGAGGTTGCTCCGTACTTGGGGTGCTTGCGACATGGGGCCTGGGATTTAGACCCTGGGGCCCTTGAGCCTCTAAATGACCATAACTCTGTGTCTTCGGGATCGACAGCCTGCTGGCTCGTGTGTGTGTGTGTGTGTGTGTGTGTGTGCGTGCGCGCGCGCCCTCGTGCGTGCACACATGCTCCTTAAACAGTTATTTACAAACTTCATTTTAAGTGACCTTTCCTCTGATAGAAAACTGTTTTTTAAGAAAGTGCTCTCGTGCTGTGTGTTTCACTGCTGTAGTTCTTGCCACAGTGGAGAAGCACTCGCCTTCCCTTGCACGCCGTTTGGAAGCACACGGTTCCTCTCCCACTCAGCCTGCTCACTGCCCAGTGCTCCCTTTAGTGCTGGCTGCTGTTGTCTGTCAGCATGCTCTGCTGTCTGTATGTGCACATGCTTCCTCTGTGCATTTTATTTCACCGTGTGGAAAAGAACAGCCATGAGCCAGCAACACTAGCTAGTGAATCAAGACCGGATGTGGGAATGCCAGCTCTAGGTTCCTGCCCAAGTGTTAGCAGAGAGCCTTGTGAAACCCCCTTTCAATTATCAGGTGCCTGTGTGTCAGTCGATTCTGGAAGTGATTCTGGAAGTGAGGCGTGCTGAGGGATGCAGGAGGCTCTGTAGTGAATTGCTGGCCAAGGCTGTGGGGACAAGCCTGTAAGTTTTCACCAGTAGTCTCCTTGCCGGTGGGAGTCACATTTCACAGAGTCTTGTCAAAGAACCATACATTAAAATATCCACTCTATGCGGCACTTCTGTAGCACTCTGAAATGACTTTTCCTTTACAGTGAAGAGCCTCAGAAAGAGAGTAATTCCTAAGCTGTTTCTGTTTCTTGCTATTTTAGGGGACATCACCCAGAAAGGCTATGAGAAGAAAAGGTCCAAACTTCTGTCTCCTTATAGCCCGCAGACCCGAGGTAAGCACGAGAAACGGTTTCAGTGTTTTTAACCTGAGAGATGCTGACCTAATAGATCTCTGTCAATGGTTTGTCGTCCCGCTCCCCACCTTCTCACAGGGAAGAGAAGCAGAAGGCAAGAACAGAGGAAAAGATTCTCAGCTATGCACTAGGCACTTTAAAGACGCCCGAGGCCACCGCACTGTTTGCATAGAGCTTGGGTGCTGGTGTGTAAAAAACTGAGACAATTCAGGGACAGAATATTCCAGGCTGTGGAAATGTGTGTGTGTGTGTGTGTGTGTGTGTGTGTGTGTGTGTGTGTGTGT